AGAAGGCCAGCCTTCTTTGGCTGGACCTCAGGGAGAAGAGGAAGGTCTACAGTCTCTGGAAAAGGGGGTCGGCTACTTACAAACAATACCAAGGTGTAGCAAAGATATGCTGTAGAAGAATTAGAAGGGCAAAAGTCCAAGGAGAACTTAACTTGGCAACAACAGTTAAAGATAATAAGAAGGGCTTTTTTCAATATATCAATAAAAAAAGGAAGGCCAGGGAAAATGTGGGCCCGCTGATGAATGAGGTGGATGCTTTGGTGGTGGAAGACACAGAGAAGGTGGAGTTGCTGAATGCCTTCTTTGCTTCGGTCTTCACTGCCAAAGCTGGCCCTCATGAATTCCAGACCCTGGAGGCAAGGGAGAGGGTCTGGAGAGAGGAAGACTCCCCCTCTGTTGGGGAGGACTGGGTTAGAGACCACTTGGCCAAACTGGACATCCACAAGTCCATGGGCCCTGATGGGATGCACCCACAAGTGCTGAGAGAACTGGTGGATGTTATTGCTAAGCCACAGTCTATCATTTTTGAGATATCTTGGAGAACAGGAGAAGTGCCTGAGGACTGGAGGAAGGGAAATACCACACCAGTCCACAAAAAGGGTAAGAAGGAGGACCCAGGGAACTACAGGCCAATTAGTCTCACCTCTGTCCCAGGGAAAGTAATGGAGTGGCTCATGCTGGACGTCATCTCCAAACACATTGAAGATCAAGAAGTTATCGGTATTGGTCAACACGGATTTACCAAGGGTAAATCATGCTTGACCAATCTGATAGACTTCTATGATGTTGTAACTGGTTGGCTAGATGAAGGGAGAGCAGCAGATGTCATCTACCTTGACTTCAGCAAGGCTTTTGACACTGTTTCCCATAACATCCTCATTAGAAAATTAAGGAAGTGTGGGATAGATGAGGGGGCAGTGAGATGGATTGAGTCCTGGTTGTGTGACAGGACTCAGAGTGTTCTAATTAATGGAGTGGGGTCAAGTTGGAGGCCTGTGACCAGTGGTGTCCGTCACGGGTCAATACTCAGCCCAGTCCTGTTCAACATATTCATAAATGACCTGGACAAGGGGACAGAGTGTATTCTCATCCAAGTTTGCTGATGATACCAAATTAGGAGGGCTGGCTGACACCCCAGAGGGCTGTGCCACCATCCAGCATGACCTGGACAGGCTGGAGAGCTGGCAGAGAAGAACCTAATGAGGTTCAACAAGGAAAAGTGTAGGGTCCTGCACCTGGGGAGGAAGAACCCCAGGCACCAATACAGGTTAGGGATGGATCTTCTGGGAAGCACTACTGAGGAGAAAGATGTGGGAGTCCTGGTAGATAGCACACTTTCCACGCGCCAGCAATGTGCCCTTGTTGCCAAGAGGGCCAGTGGAATCCTGGGCTGCATAGGAAAGAGTGTGGCCAGAAGGTCGAGGGAGGTCATTCTCCCCCTCTACTCTGCACTGGTGAGGCCACAACTGGAATAGTGCGTCCAGTTCTGGGCTCCCCAGTTCAAGAGGGACAGGGAACTACTGGAGAGAGTCCAGCGTAGGACTACAAAGATGATTAAGGGATTGGAGCACCTCCCTTACGAGGAAAGGCTCAAGGAGCTGGGACTCTTTAGCCTGGACATGCGAAGACTGAGGGGAGACCTTATTTATGTGTGTAAGTATCTAAAGGGTGAGTTGAAGGATGATGGAGCCGGACTCTTTTCAGTGGTTTCCAGCGATAGGACAAGGGGCAACGGGCTCAAGCTGGAACATAGAAAGTTCCATTCAAATATGAGAAAAAACTTCTTTAGGGTGAGGGCGACAGAGCCCTGGAACAGGCTGCCCAGGGAGGTCATGGAGTCCCCTTCTCTGGAGATCTTCAAGACCCGCCTGGATGCAGTCCTGAGTGATGTGCTCTGGGCATTCCTGCTTTAGCAGGGGAGTTGGACCAGATGATCTCTAGAGGTCCCTTCCAACTCTGACAATTCCCTGATTCTACATACAGTCTAGAAACATCAGCTCTTAGTTTCCAGTTCTAATTACTGTCATGCACTACTACCTCACAGCATGTCCCTCCTCTCTTACGTAATTTCGCCTGTACAATTACACCTTATGTGCTAAAGCTTCACACAGTTTACCACATTCTCTAACCACTTCCCGCAGTCTTGACTCTTCCAAACGGCCCCAGTGGCCTGCACAAAAGGCTGATGCAGAAACCAACACAGATACAGGATCCAGAACAAACGCAGAGCAAGGGAGTACTGAAACGTCTTCTTCACTTGCCTTAACAGAGTGCTCTCTCCACCAGAACTCAGAGCACTTTTTAAACATGTAAAATATCAGTAGTAATAAATACATAAACAAGTAGAAACAATGTAAAGAAAAAAGATAACACAAAAGCATGTTGAATAAAGAAGAAAGAGGAACAAGCAAAAATTATGTTCTGTACGTAGTGAGTACTGTTTTTATTAAACCATGTATTAATCTGTATTAAGCTGTGTATTTTTATTGAAAGTATGAAGCTTCGCAGGTTTCTGAATCCCATGGTGCATGAATTGTCATCCTCCCCCCTCATGCCTTATGGTTTACAGCTACCTGTTGCCACTTGCCTTTGCTTATGAGTCTAATTAGAACAATGAAACAGAGAGGTCAGTCTCAACAGGTGCTCACGTACACGACCAGCAATCAGAAAAGACAGGGCAGAGATCCCCTGAGCATCAGCTGACCAACAAACTGAGGCACCTGAAGATTGCTCTCTAGGCTTGCTTGAAGGCATATGGACCTGGACAGGGTTGAGAGACAGGCCCGTTGCAAAACTCATGAAGTTCAACCAGGCCAAGTGCAAGGTCCTGCACCTGGGTCAGCACAATCCCAAGCACAAATACAGGCTGGGTGGAGAATGGTTGGAGAGCAGCCCTGAGGAGAAGGACTTAGGGGTGTTGGTGGATGAGAAGCTCAACGAGCTGGCAAAATGTGCTGGCAGCCCAGAAATCCAACCACATCCTGGGCCACATCAAAAGAAATGTGGACTGCAGGCAAGGGAAGTGATTCTACCCCCCTACTGGAGACATCTGGTGAGATCCCCCCTGGAGTACTATGTCCAGCTCTGGAGTCCTCAACACAGGACGGACAAGGACCTGTTGGAGTGAGTCCAGCAGAGGGCCATGATGATGATCAGAAGGCTGGAGCACCTCTCCTATGAAGACAGGCTGAGAGAGCTGGGACTGTTCAGCCTGGAGAAGAGAAGACTCTGGAGAGACCTTATAATGGCCTTCTAGTACCTGTAGGAGAGAGGGGGAGGGACTATTTATCAAGGAGTGTAACGATAGGACAAGGGGTAACGGTTTTAAACTGAAAGAGGGGAGATTTGGATGAGATATTAGCAAGAAACTCTTTACTGTGCGGGTGGTGAGGCACTGGAACAGGTTGCCCAGGGAGGTCATGGATGCCCCATCCCTGGAGGCGTTCAAGGCCAGGCTGGATGGGGCTTTGAGCAACCTGGTCTAGTGGGAGGTGTCCCTGCCCATGGCAGGGGAGCTGGAACTAGGTGATCTTTATGGTTTCTTCCAACCCAAAACATCCTATGATTCTATGATTTTTGATGGCTCCAACCTTTTGCTTGGATCTGCATACTACAATGTGAGAAAGAGAGGCAGAGATGTGATAAACCATCCCTCAAAATGATTCCAACATGGATCAAGCTACAGGTTGACCAATTCAAGCCCCAACTCTGCCCTGCTGATGTTCCTGCCTGTTACTGACATTTCAAAGTGGAATATCAGCAACTCTAAGAACAAAACAGCATAAGCCAAAGTATTTCTATATTCCCAACAGAAATGTTTCTAGAAATTTTGAGACACTCAGGCCAGACAACCAATAACCACAATTGGTCACCATGACGTACAGCCACAGCAAGACACTCTGTAGGCAAGATATCTCAAAACTCAAAAGTAAATAAAGATATTACTACAGATAGAAACAAGCACATTCAATAGGAAAATACTATTCTACAGCCTAAATTTTTGTGTAGTGATAAGACAAGATAAACTCAAGCAAGTCCTGTTCTTATGGGGGCATCTCTATGGCTGTCCCACTTCTGCCAAACATCCTCCTTACAGATAAATGCTTTGTGGCCAGGCATACGCCACCTGCATTCCTTTCTTCAGAAATGGTGGAGAGAAGAACATGAAGATCACAGAAATGTCATCCTTTTTCTCTATGATTCATAACTAAAAGAGGAATTCAAGATAATGTGTATATCTACCTTAAACAAGAGAGAAACTTACACTACACAAAAGTTCTCATTGGCTGTCAACCTAACTCATTCACATGCTTCAGAACTGTGGATATACTGAGTGCAGAATGTCTCACACATAAGGAATAGTTTATACATGAAGTTAAACACAGCTATAAAGAAATTTCCAGATGCTAATGAAAACAGACTTTAAGTTAAGGTCAATTATATAACACACACACTGAGAAAAATGCAAAACAAAGTCTTACGCTTCTTATGCTTACTATAAGGAATGAGATGAAAAATTGTATCACAGATGTTTATGACAATACTCGATCATGTACTGAAAGCTGCCTTCAGATAAAAACAGTAATTTAATATTTGTAATAAATGTGGTATGAGAAAGTATAAGGAACAGGGGAAAAAAAAAGCTTCTGTTTTGCATTGCAGTAAATAGTTTACATGGAAAACATTAATATAATCTCACCGACCACCTTCTGTAAACTCACAGAATCACCTTTCCAGACGGTATACTTCTACATACATCTCAAAAGACATAATTCCTGGCTTTAGAATCCTACTGTGAGTTTTATTTGCACATCATTTCTAACATACTCCACAGCGTTAACTTCATGACACTCTGTTAACTCTATGACACTTTTTTTAAACAGATAGTGAGACAAATTCTGAGGCTAAACCAAACTAATGCCATTTGTTCAAGCCCCTCAAGTAGCAAGTAATGTATATGTAAAAATGCGCATTTTAAAGAAACACACACCATGACAAGGTAATACTTAGATTCTACACTTTATTGAATCACACAGATACAAACTATCAAAGGGAGAGGTGTTCACTTTCTAAACAGCAGTAGTAGCTTAAGTCATTGTTTCCTCAGTTGCTTTTATGTCTTTCCTACCAAAAGCTTCCAGCTCCCACCTCTGTCAACAGAACAGCTCGTGCTGAATGCTCATTGACCTGGTTTAGAAAAAGTCAACTGAGTCAGCTCACGTAGTCTGAACTAGTCCAGCTGATTTGGTCCGAAGCAGATAAGGGAGCACTGACATGAATTCAAATGACAGAGCTCTGGGTACTGTGGCATCTGGCAAACAAACAGATGAGCAGGCAGAGATGGTGAAATCATTTCAGCAAGTCAGGAAACCAAAAAGCACATTCTGGACTCAGCCTGAGCATCCGAGACATACCAGGTACACATTTGCTTGTTTAAAAAACAAACAAACCCCGAAGTACTTTCAATACAGCTAAACAACAAAACATGCTTCTATAGTAGCTGCTTCTTTTAAAGATTTTGCAATTAAAAAGCCATTTATATTTCATAGAGGATTGTTTGACATTGTTTGTATAACTTATAAGAAATATGCTATCATCATAAATTATTTGCCTGATAAATACTTAATTATATTAAAATTTATGCATTTAAGCAATTTGGTGTGAACAGAAAAAAACCTAAACAGCCTATTTTAAATATCTGCACTTCACAACTTCCTCCTTTCACATATGTACTGATAAAATATCAGTTATTCAGAAATACAAAATATTTTTAAAGAGACAGGTAAACAATAAGAAGATTCAGAATCTTATTTGCACATCATTCATATTATTATTGCACCATGAGACCTTTCATTTAGAGTAAGTTTAGTCCTACTGACCATTAACCATTTCACAATTGTGAAGACAACTGAAGTTCTCAGTGTCTTTGGAAAGGCCAAGGATCAAACAGCATTTATCTGACTAACCTGGAGGAATTCTCTCATCAACAGATTTATTTTTTAAATCAGTGAAGTCATCCTGTATCTCAACACAATGAGTCCTTCAGGGTTGGTCCATCAACTCTAACTGAAGTGATTTTCAGTGGCAACAACGAAAGCTTGACTATGCTCTAAATTCTTGTTCTTCTCCTTTGAAACTGTGAGACCAATCAAGCTTGAAATCAAGCAACTTGGATCTTCTTTGTTATCACACAGCTAATACCACAATTAAATTTGGTGTTGAATTGTCCAAGGAAGCGTCAGCCTGAGCTACTATGGCTACCAGAGGCAATACAAACAACAGAGAGAAGATGGCAGGTCAGGTGTGAGAAGAGGGCCTTCAGTAAGCACAGCACGGCACCCTGGCTAATGATTCCTGCTTTCCAGGGAGCTCTCCCTAGAGGCTTGCTCAAAGGCAGCTCTAATCTCCCTGTTCTCTTTGTTGAACAGCAGAGAGAATTCATGAGGCTGCTCGTGACTCTAACAAAGTTCCACACGTTCAATAACAACAAAGTTGAAGTGCTAGTGAATTTTGATTCTCAGAAACAACTGGGGAAAAAAAGCATTATTCTCAAAAAAACCCAAATTACCTTCAACTGTAGCTCCTCTTCTACCTCAAACATCATGTTCTTTTTACACAGACATGCAATGGCTCCAAAGTAACAGGTACCTGAATCCTACCACCAATGCTAGATTAATTTGCAGTCATAAAACACTATGAAATACTTCATATAGAATATGTTGTTACACAGTCATTTAAAAAACATTTCAATTGTATGCTTGGAATTGCACGACTTGGCTTTTTTTGATACTGACTGTGAAGTTGTTAGTCCAGACCTGAAGTTAAAGAAAGACAAAAAAATGGTAAGAGGAAAAAATACACAATACATACCTACACAACTTTTACAACACTAAATATTTCCAGAAAACCCCTACCTTTTAGTTCCTTGTGATGGATTTGTGCACTGCTGTCCTCTGCTTAAACCTCCTGAAAAGTAATTGGAAACAACCAAAATTAATTCTGTCAATAAAGAATGCTTCAGAAATCATATACATAGAAATCATATAAATGGCAGAACTTTTAAAAGAGAAGGTTTGGGTAAAGCTTTTCTTACCCCCCTCCCCCCCTTTTTTTTAAGATAACCAAATTTAATCTGTCTCAAGGAGCAGATAACATTTTATTATGTGCAGTTCGAGAACTGTAATTTATATTAACATTTTAAAAAGAAAAAAAACCCAAGCCTTTAGCCTATTGAACTCTAAGAGACTAATCTGAATCTTGTTGTAGTTTTCAGATATACCTCAGTGTAATGCAGTTGATTTTCAAGACAGTTGTTCAAAATTATTTTCTTTATCCTGCAGGAGGGAAAGACTCTTTGCCAACAGTGAGTTTTTAAGTTAAAACAAAGCCTGTGTGCACATGTAGCAACAATACAGCTTATAAAATTTTCTCTGCAAAAAGACTGATACTGTAAGCCTTAATTGTGTTTTGATAATTCTAACACACCAGCATTTTAATTTCCTCTTAAAAATCTCCCAAGTTAGATTAGGGACAAGGTACTTCAAGCAGATACTTAACTACCTGCACATGTCCTCTAATCTAGCCACAGGTTAACTCTTCCTCAAAACGAGAAACTACTTAAGTAAATAAGCTACTGTTTTCACATGTTACAGGTGCAGTTACATGATATATTTTATTAGATGTAAAACAGGCACATTCCTGCCTTTATGCTTTAGTTCACCACCTCTCTGTTTTTGCCAACACATTATATAATGGAACTTTTCTCTCAACTGAATCTCTGAAACAATCCAAGATGAAGGTGGTTTCATTGATTCTCACTTAAATCTTGGGGGCCTTACAAACACTTTTCCAAACATGCTTGGGGGGTAGCAAACATACGATTTACAGAAATAAGCAGTAATTCCTATGTCACCCTTGTGGAAAATGAGAATGCACTATTTAATTTCCACCACATTCATAAATCTCGTTTTTCCTGAAAACTGATTTGATATTTTCTAAAGTAAAATGTTCACCCTTAAACAGGCCTTACTCAAATTAACTTGTTGAAAAAATCTCAAAGCCCTGTGTCCTGTTTTGAGGTTCAAGTATACCACTACCAAATCATTTTAATGGTACAAGCAGACAATTTGAATAATCAAATATATCCTAATGTGGATACTTACCAACTCTGTTTGAATTTTCTGTATTAGAAGTCTTAGCAGGAAAATCTTTTTTCTCTGTGAGCTCCTGGATAAGACCTTTATTTAAGCAGACATCCACATGTCTGTTAAATGACACAAGACTGGTGGTTTTCTGTTGTAAATTACAAACTGGACAAACAAGAATGCTGTCTTCTTTGGCTTCAAAGAAACAGGATGAACTATTTTTTTCTGTATGTTCAGTCTTTTCAAAATGGTCTCCCTTGCCTTGTGAAATTCTTTTGGTGAAAAGACACTGTTTCATACACACGTTTCTAGCAATATCACTGAGATTGCTAGGCTGTCTTTCTCTGTGAGGTTTATCAGGTATTATCTGAGTGAATTTTTCTGTGCTACTGCTAGCAGAGTCGTCAGATGTACTTGCAGACTGGTCTGTTCCTGCTAGTTGATCTGTTTTATTTATTTGACATTCATCAACATTTTCATTTTCAAAGTGCAGAAGAAAGTTGAGTGTATTTTCTCTTGAATTGTCATTCTTGGATATTTCCGTGGCATCTTTAACAACAGTCCCATTGAGGCACTCATCAATATGCCTATTAAGCTCTTCCAAATTATTGCTGCTTTGCTCCTTAAAGCAAACAGGGCAGGTGAAGGTCTTACACAGATTAGAATTCTGTACGTCTGTGACTTTCTTAGTTTCTTTCACAAAATTTGCTGATGATTTCTGATCATGAAAGAGCTGCTCACCTACAGTTTCATTTGGACGAAGATTCTCACTGTTTAGTTGCCTTGCAGCTCGCTTTTTATCAAAAAAACTCCCTCTAGGAGATGCTTCTGAACTTTTTGTGAAATATTGTTGGTTGGACTTCCCTGGCTGCAGCCCAAGAAAACCATTTTCTCTTCCTGATTTTAAGAAACTTTTAATGCTTTTTTGTTGATACTTCTTCTCTTCTTCACTTAGAAATCCTGATACTCGTACACCTAATGATGAAAATCAAACTTATAATACCAATTTTATGAAAATTTAGTATTAATTCTTAGTTAACACCTTCTGATGTGTACATCCAATCAATAAAAGTGCATTTTATCTTTAAATGGAGGCTATACTACCTGCAAATGCTAACAATGGATCACAAGGTCTGTACAGACCCAAACATGTGCCCAACCATATTATTAATTTCAATATCCACGAAGTTGTAACTGATTGTACCATGAGGCTATAAACTTAATACAGTTATATAGAATTCAGTCTGAAAGAGAGTTTTTCATGGTGTTCCCACCAAAATATATTTTCAGTGCATTCTAATACCATAGACAATAAGTTCTGGATATCACTGAATGGTCCAAGCAGAATACATAAGCATCTGATACACACAGGTCTTAGAATCAAAACACTGATTTTACTTTCAACAGAAATTTTGAATTTCTTGCAGACCATAACATCTTCAATTCTAGAAGCACTTTTACTTAAAGCGTTTGTTTCTAAAAGAAGTTAGTGACAGAAATGACCTGTTACTGTGACGCAAAGCAGATTTAAAAGCTCTTTTAAGACAGCAGAATTAAGCACTGCTGTGTGTTAAGATTCTACTCTCTAGCCAATCTTTATGTTGTTCCAGGGCTAACAGGTGGTAGGAAAAGTACAATCTAAATTACTAAGACACCCTGAGTCACCATTCAGCACTTTACAACTGTTTCACTTTGCAAAAACTACCAGGGTAACAAAGAAAGGATAAATCCATTTATACAGATTTTACTTTAAAGTACAATCTATTACTTGGATACATTATAAGATCGAGTTTGAAATACTTTACCCATAAGTCTTATCCGTAAGGGGTGAGGAGCAACACTATCAATTTCCGTTCCTAACAAGTCTTTAGCAACAGCAAATATTTCCTCCTCAGTAGAAACAGAAGACAGCACAGTTGAAGCTCTTGTTTTCACTTCAAAGTTCACATTCTTTAGCTTCAAGGTAACAGTTTTACCCTAGGGAAAAAAAAAAAAAAAGAAAGAAAAAAAAGAAAAAAAAGAAAAAGGTTAAGCATGTCATATATAGTACAGAAACAATTGTTATGTAGCATCTATACAAGGGCCATAAAGCCATAGGCAAAACTGTGGGACTGCCAAGAATTCATCTGCAAGATTCAGCACTTGCTCCTAAACTGCTGCCAAAGTCAAATTCTCTGAACTGGGTCATTTGGCTATGGTTCCCAGCAGACCATCTGCCACCAGTGCCTGTTCAATAGATTTTGCTCTGGCTACAGTCATAACTTCTACCCTGTCTACAAAAAAATATTTCGTCACTTGGAAACTTTCAGTGCAAGATAACTTACCTCTGCTGGGAAAACTACTAAGGACATGTAAGTGACATCCAATTAAGGATTTGCTGAGAACTTCTTTCCTCCTGCATGATGCTATCAGAGCAACACACAGCTTCTGTGTTTGGCACAAATATTCCCCTAGCAACACCTTCCAAACCATTTATGTGATTTAGTGTGTCCATCCAAATGTAAACAGATGGCACACCTGTTGTTCTGGTGCCTTTGTAAGCTTATCCCTTTGTTCTTCTTAGTTGATGATTTCCCTTAAACCTATCATATTTTGAGAACCATCTTTTATGGATGAAGAATACTAATTCTTTTAGGTCTTAAATGTTAGTCCTTGCTTTACCATAAAGACCTTCATAGAAAATATCAACTGTTCTTCCCATATGCTAAACAGAAATTTGGGGAGAAGGAATACAGAGACTCTTCCTACAATTCATACCACTGAATGGCATGAATAACTTGTCAGCAAGTCTGGGACATGTGAACTTCTTAAACTACTCTACTGGCTATTGACTGGATCCTGTATGAATATGTGAAAGAAACACAGTGTTTTAAATACATTAGTAGTGTATGACTAACCAAAGCACAGCTCATAGACAATCAGTGCTATTATTTGTTTATAAACATTGCTTTTAGCAGAAAATGCCTATGCGCTAAATAGCTTAGTTAATAAGTTTAATGTTTTCTATGCATATCATTAGAAAGCCACCTGAACAATATAAAAATGCTGACTAAATCATTCTAAACACCTGCAATTAAAGAATGGAGTCTTCTGAAGATAGATTGCATGGTATGACGCTGCTGAGAATATTCACCCTAATGTTGCATTTAATAACTTTAAGTGCGAAGTGTTGTCTTTTTGCAAATAAACAAAGAATAATCTAAATACCTTAAGTCCCTCTTTCTGTAGGTCTTGAGCAAGGTCTCTGCAGAGTTCTCGACACAAGCTGTACTGGTCTTCTGCTGAGTTCATTTCACTGAATGTTCTAAGATAAAGATACAATCTTTTTTTCAGTATGCAGTCTAAAATCTCTTCAGTGGCTGCCTTCTAAAAGTATTTTTTGTACAGTTAAACAAAACTACATCAGCAGAAGGTCATATAGGTTTGAGTGTTTACTTCAAGGAAAAATGGACATTAATATGATTATACAGAAAGATTTGTTACACATTTATGTGTTTCAAAATGTTTGCAAAGCCCTTCAAATAATGAAATAATTTGGCTTTCAATTTTTCATGTGCTCTTTGAAAATGTATCAGATTTAAGGTCATTAATGCTTTAATATTTGTAAGAGAGAATTCTAACACCAACTGAATTTATGGAGGCAGCCAAGTTATTTGTATTTAATCTTGTTTGTACAGTGCTATGTAACATCAGAAGAAAGAAAGGATTAGAAAGTCAATATCAGAGCCAAGTATCAGAAATAAATAATGCAGATGCTAAGAAAAAGATGCCAGCTAGGGTAATTATGTCTAGCCACAGAGGAGGAAAAGCTATCTTTCTGCCAAAAACATTGCTAACTGCCTTTGCTAGAGCAAGGAAATTACAGTATTATTTTTGTTGTGCATCTGCTTTTTAGTAATAACATGAGAGGAAAAGCAACCTTCAGTTAGTAGTGGTTTTAAGAGAAGTGGGAAGCAAAACTTAAAGCCACCAGATGCTTTTAGAATGGTCTCACAGATCCATTGTTTCAAGCCAGGCCTTCTATTTATGAGTGTAAAGTCCCTATAGTTACATTGGATTTCACATCTCTGAGTTATAATTAGGTTTACCTGATCATATTGAAAAGTCATCCCCTATTATGATTCATGTTCCCCTAAGAATTTTTGCATGCTGCCAAAGTAATGGGGTGGATATTTTACTGGGGGTCCCATGCCATTATCCAAGGAGTAACTCGTGTTATCCTGGCAATGCTGCAGTGATTTACAGCATTGCAATGCTGCAGTAATTGGGAAGCTGTAAAAGTCCAAAGTTTGGAAGGGGCGGGACAGAGAGAATGTTTTTTCAGGCCCATCTCTTACTCCCATATAAACTAGTTTCACGATTACAGCAGCCCATTGACATCTCTGGTCTAAAATGGTTTCCCTTAGGGAAAAAAGAAGGAAGAAAAGCAGAATGGTACAATAGGCTACCCAGATTATCAGTCTGCCTGCAAACCAGCACAAGACTACAGCCATACATGTCTCAGCTCCGCTGGTACTAAACTTTACGGGGTTTACATAAGCTGCCCAGCTTTGAGATTTAACTATTAAGTCGCAAAAGGAATAATTTCTTTTTTTCTTTTCTAAAAAGAGACAACAAGTGAGGATAGGGATAATTATTGCGGTGCTCTACTGATTCTACCTGCAGTATTTCCTTTTTTAAAAATGAACTTTTGGAAATTACATACACCACCACCCTAAGGAACTCTACACTGGTAAAAACTTAAAAGTTAGGAAACATAACCAATTTTAGTTAACCATGCAAAATTACTGTCAGCTTTGCAAGTCTACCCTACGCTATACTTGCCACGCGTATCACTGCAGGCTACTAGACTGATGTTGACATTAAACTGGAACATATAAAAGAAACTTCAAGCCCTTATATATTTCCCCCCTATATCACAGCTTAAAGACCACTTTGATGTATTAACGGTATTAGGAGAATCAGATGATGAGAAAAGAGAACATGCAAACCGACAGAAGTAACTCCATAATATTCTGAACCCAAGGAAAATAAATAATTTAAGCTTGAATATGATTTAGTGAGCTTGTTGTATATGCAGTTTTCCAACACATAAATACACAATGAAATTATATGACTAAGAAAAGTATACACTACTTGTCACTAAGTAGGTTTAGTAATTAATGTAGCTTTTTCAATGTTGAAGAAGCGTACCTTTCAGTGCTCATACTTTTTCTTTCTCCATCCCTTTAAAAAGAAAGACAATTTATTACACTCACTTTACCTAGAACTGTTATCATTCCAATAAACTCCAAGACAATCAGTCATGCTTCAGTAACTACCAGCAGCCCCGTCTATAAAATCTGGATGTTAACTTTCTCTACACGTCTTGTACATCAAGTTTAAGTGAATGCAAAACAGATAATGTTTTTTTTTTAAAAACTTAAATTACTGTAGATGTAATAAAGACATAAATAAGCCACAGACGTCAATAAAATTTGTAAAAGGAACCCAAAACCCCAACAAAACTCCTCTCTCATATTGGAATGAGTCTTATTTAAAAGCAAAACTAACTACAAATCCTATGGTTTCTCATCTCACTGTAAGTGCACAGCACTGCTATTAAAATCCCGAACATGCTATGCATATTTGAATATTTGTTTATCTAAGGAATTAATTTTACTTTCTCACAAAATTATTGCCAATGTTAAAGGTGATGTGTTAGGGCTCTTTTTGTTGGTTGGTTGGTTTGTTAGCTTGTTCTTTCCCAGGAAGATCTATTACTACCAGACATGTAACAGGAATAATATGGAATAGGTCCTTCAGAAGTGCACAGAACACTTTGGAACTTCTAATGAAACTGAATCACTGTCATGCTGTTTTTAAATATAATTTCAGTAGTTTGGGAAGCATAGAAAAATATTTATGGAAGGAATATTTAAAAGAAAGCCAATCCTAAATTAAGACTTGTTTACACAAACAGCAAAATGCTGGGGTTTTTTAAGAACACGTGTTCCATGTTTATATCCAGGTTAGGTTTAGAAATGATACATATTATTGAAAGGACGAGTTCACTACTAAGACTTATTTCTCCTCTCTACACAGGAGGCTAAAAAGCCGTTAAAGTAGTATGAATCTTAAAGAAACAGATATGAAGGCTATAAAATCTTCAGTTCTACTCCAGCAAATTCACAAGTTGATATTGCAAATATGTACGTATACACAATAGAAGACACAGAAACTTCAGTCTCTTTCATTAGAAATATGCCAATTTACCACCAGAGAAAATCAGATAGCAATGCAATTTTTGTTACAATCAGATAAAAATAAAAAACAATGAATGTCTATTGTTTTTATAAAGAAAACAGGACTGAACACCTCTGCTTAGGAAAACTCATTTCTCTTTAGCTGTTTTAGTAATTATGAGGTTATTTTAAATGATACCAACTTGATTTCTTGATATACACTTGATGCACAACTTCTCTGACAGACTTTTTGGATTTCATATACTAGACATGGCTGTACAAACTTTTCCTTTTTAATATTCAGTTGTTGTGTGTATCTTAGCCATAAGTATAATAATAACAGGTATCAGAGACCTTTTGAAATACATTAAACAAGCCAAATTTTCATAATATTTGTTTGTCAATAAAACATTTCTAAAATGCACAGTATGTGAGATAAGGAAAAAAATTAGAAACATATAAACACAGGAGAAAAAAAACCCAAAACATACTTTTCCAAATGTGTTGAACCCAAACCAAGGGAAATATCCAAGAAATTACGCCAAGATGCTTCTGAAAAAAGCAGAGAAAGCAGTGCCCTCTGCTGGTAAAGTTCTGAGCAAGTCACAATTCCTAGGGCTTTTAACATCTTCTCGGTTACTTTGCCTATACCCGGCACCTGAAAAATAGTTAGTATCATTATAGAAACTATCATTATGGTAGATCCAATACCAAGAACAATTTAAACCAAACACAATTGGCCAGATTACCTAGAAAAGTATATTTCTTCAGTAGAAATTTTGCTTTTAGAACATAAGGAACATACAAGGTTACATGGTAAATATCATGGTATATCTTACCTTTCTAATGGGCAAGTCTTTCAGGAAGTCTAACACTGCTTGTCTCTCAGGAGCAATTCTGCACTGCCCATTAGGTTTATTACGATCACTGCACATTTTTGCTAACATTGTATTCGGTGCTATTCCTTAAAAACAAACAAACAAACAAACAAACAAACCCCCTATTTTTAAAAAATACAAGACAATTTAATTTCAACTGTCCAATATTTAAAAGCTGAAGAGTAGCCTAGACGTTTGGCAAAGACTAAACATATGAAAAAGAATGACTATAACTGATAATCAGATTTGTTACAATTCTGAAAAAAAAATTGTATTAGACATGTGAGAACATAAATACTTGTGGTATATTAAATATAATGGATGCACCAGATAAAGTGTACCTACTATTTTAAGACAGTCAGGGTAACACAACACGCGCTAATCAGTCATGAGAGGTTAAATACCAAGTGTTTAAAAATAACATCAGTTACATGATTGAATGACTTTATGATAGTGATTATAGTAAGACAAAAGGAAATGTTTACAATAGCACTTATAATGCATTCTAAATAAGGAGGAGATATTTTCTCCTTGTTTTTCAGCAAAAAGACTTAACTAATTTTGACAAAATGTACCAAATTATCTTGTGGGCTACCACTGCTACATAGTCTTTTTGAAACACACATTTATTTCACTGACACTTGTAGAGATGAGGATCTGCTCTTTTCTATCAAAGTAACTGTTTTTACAAATGAACTCTGCAATTGGTTTAGCAAGAAAAATAGAATTATTCTGCGCTACCCCCCCTGGAGGACTAAATTTTTATTCGCTTACTGATAAAATTATTTAAGAAGGTATACGTAATTCTATTTATTACTGATTATCAGTATTTTTCAATTAGCTTTCTAGCTATTTTTCGTTTCTGTGATTAAAACCCCTGATGTGCTTATAAAAGCTATGTCTGTTTTCTAAACACTAACTTATTCCTTAAGAAGACAAAATTTCAATAGAACAAAAATAATTTTGCTACCACTCATGAGATAACACACATGGGAGGTCGGTCTCATCTGGCTTCTTCCTACTACTGCTCCTTTAGGTTTGCTTACATTCGACATTTCTTTGGCCTTCTACATCTGCTTCATAAAGCTCATTACTCCCTGATGCCTCACTGACCTGGTTAGGAGAGCAGTTTGGACGGCATCAAACTAAGTGGCTAGGGGCATACAGTTCCTTTAGTGACCTAATCCAGATTATTATCAAAATAGTTGAGACTTACAGGTAGATTGCCTGAAGTCAAATGACATAAAACTTGAATAATCCATATTAAAAAGCTAGTGAATAGTTTGTTGACTTCCACACATATTTACTTCTCTGAGAACTAATTTTTTAATGAATTTTGATATTGCCTTAAGCAAGGAACAGTGGGGAGAACTGTTAGAAATAATTAACAATATGGATCTGATATTCAAACTAACAGCAATTTAGCAACCACTGACAGATTTCAGTATGACCACTATTTCACGAAAACAATTTACTTGAAACACTAAACCAACAACCACCAGTGCTAAGATTAACTCCTGAGTGCACTGGCCATTCTTCCACACCACTTATATTTCAAGAAGAAAGAAGCAAAAAAATGATGTAACTGTTTCTATGATTAAAAAACAAGAGTGTCTTTGATAGCTATATCACTTCTTGAAACACTTGAAAGTCATAGTCTTTGCAGATTTGCAAAGAGAGCAAATTACTTTGCGGCACAAGAATACTGTGGCAATGCTGATTTCTTAATTAATGCCCTCTAAGATTAGAGTAGGAGACATTCTGGAAATACAAAGCATTATTATTATTCATATGTGTCTGAATACCTGCACTAGCAGTCAGTTGAGTTTTCTGCTCAATTCTAAAGCGAATTTCCTTCACAACTTCCTCTGCAGAAGTTCCAAAGACAATTGATTGATCTCTTTGTTCAGGGTGGTTATCCATCAGAGGTGTATTTTCTTCAAACAGTACCGGTGAAGAAGAGTATCCATCTTCATTACATTTGGCAGACATGTTTATATCATCTTTCTCTATGTTAGGTAGAAACACAAACAATTAATCTGTCCATGTGTGTTCTATACGGATGGATCTCAGGGGAAAAAAGAGAGTTTGGAAGAAGGAGCAGGCAACTCAGGAGGACTACAAGTATGACATAAGCTTATCCAGGGAGTAAATTAGAAGGGCCAAAGCCCAACTAGACCTTAATCTGGCTACTGCCTCAAAAGGCAATAAAAATGTTTCTGAAATACAATAGCAACAAAAGGAAGGAAGGCTAAGGAGAATCTTTATCCTTTACTGGATGCAGGAGGAAATACAGTGGCAAAGGATGAGGAAAAGGCTGAGGAACTAATACCTCAGTATTTAGTAGTAAGACCGGTTGTTCTCTGAGTACCCAGCCCCCTGAGCTGGAAGATGGGGAGCAAATAATAGGCCTTCCCTATGGATTATTCCATAATCTAAGAGGAAATGGTAAGCAACCTGCTACTCCACTTAGACACAGAAGTCTATGTGGCTGGATGGGATCCACACAAAGGTACTCAGGGAGCTGGTGGAAGTACTCACCAAGCCACCTTCCACTAGTTATGAGCAGTCCTGGCTAAACAGAGAGGTACCACTTGACTCGAGGTTAGAAAATACAACACCCATCTACAAGATGGGCCAAAAGGAGGATCTGGGGAACTACAGGCCTGTCAGTCTGACCTTGATGCTGGGGAACATTACGGAGCAGACCATCCCGAGTGCCATCATGTGGCACATACATGTGATTGGGTGCGGTCAGCATGGGTGTATGAAAGGTTGGTCCTGCCTGACTAACCTGATCTCCTTCTATGACAAGGTGACCCTTCTAGTGGATGTTGTCTACCTAGACCTTAGGGAATCCTTTGACACCATTTTCCACAGCATTTTCCTGGAGAAGAGGCTGCTCATGGCTTGGAAATGTGTACACTTCATTGGGTAAAAAACTGGCTGGATGGCTTGGCCCCGAGTTGTGGTAAATGGAGTTAAATCCAGTTGGTGGCCAGTCACCAGTGGTGTTCCCCAGGGCTTGGTATTGGGGTCAGTTTTGTTTAGTATCTTTATCAATGATCTGGATGAGGGGATTGAGCGCACCCTCAGTAAATTTGCAGATGACACCAAGTTAGGTGGGAGTATTGATCTGCTTGAGGGTAGGAAGGCTCTACAGAGGGATCTTGACAGCCTGAATCAGTGGGCCGAAGACAATTGTATGAGGCTGAACAAGACCAAATGCCAGGTCCTGCACTTGGGTCACAACAACCCCCTGCAGCGCTACAGGCTGGGGGAAGAGTGGCTGGAAAGCTGCCTGGAAGAAAAGGACCTGGGGGTGTTGGTCAACAGCCAGCTGAATATGAGCCAGCAGTGTGCCCAGCATGGCCAAGAAGACATCCTGGCTTGTATGAGAAATAGCTGGCCAGCAGGAGTAGGGAAGTGCCTGTCCCCCTGCAGAGGCCACACCTTGAATACCGTGTTCAGTTTTGGGCCCCTCACTACAAGAAAGACACTGAGGTGCTGGTCCAAAGAACAGCAACAAAGCTGGTGGAGGGTCTAGAGCACAAGTGTTATGAAGAGTAGCTGAGGGAACTGGGGTTGTTTGGCCGGGAGAAAACGAGGCTGAAGGGAGACCTTATCGCTCTCTACAATTACCTGAAACGAGGTTGTAGTGAGGTAGGGGTCATTCTCTTCTCTCAGGTAACAAGTGATAGGATAAGAGGAAATGGCCTCAAGTTGCGCCAGGGGAGGTTTAGTTTGGGTATTAGAAAGAATTTCTTCACCAAAAGGGTTATTAAGCATTGGAGCAGGCTGCCCAGAGAACTGGTCGAGTCACCATCCCAAGAGGTATTTAAAAGATGTGTAGATGTGGTGCTTAGGGACATAGCTTAGTGGTGAACTTGGCAGTGTTAGGTTAAAAGTTGGACTCAATGACCTTAAGGGTCTTTTCCAACCTAAAGAATTCTATGATATTATTTACTGATTTCTTTCTGCAGTGTCTGAAGAGAGTGCATTAGCAGCTTCATTTTTTCTGTTTGAAAAAAATAAATCATTATTCAGCCAAAGTGATTGCATCGGTTTTTTGTTTCAAGAGAGGAAAGTCCGAACTGCTTTATTCTTAATGTGATTTAAGCTTGGCTGAGATTGGAAGAATTGGCTAGGACACTGGACGTAACTTCCAGAAAAGCAACAAGGTTTAATGGCCTGTTGCTGTAGCAGCAGAAAAGCATAAATATTTTGGCATTATTTTTGCTTCATGTCAAGTGAACGCCAGATGCTCCCTTTTTTGGTGGAAATAAAAATCTTTTGTAAAAGTTTTTCAATATTCTCCAAAGAAAATCAGGGATTTGGAATATCTGGTTCTAGAATCATCAGCCTGGGGAGCTTGTTTTTCACTGCAGTCATGGTAGAACAAGTAATGTCAGCAGCCCTTTGTCTACTACTAACTTTACTACTATGGTTTCACATTCTAAGTGCTTGCTTGTTTTTCTGAAGAACAAGGATGTCAGAAGTATGAAGAGGCACATGACTCCACATCAGTGATATTTATTTTGTAAAGACTATGCCAGTTTGTTTCTTTGTATTCCATTAATGCTTTTAGTAGTAGTGTATCCTTGATTATCCTCTTAATTGAATACTGATAATATAGATGTTCCGGTTTGTACATCAATCAACCATTTGTATAACTCCTCCTTTTTTATTACTCCCTATTGGGTATACAGTTGTGGATGTGGTTCCAACTCCATCTTCTACAGCCAAGTGAAATCCAGTCATTCTTAAGCATTACTGTAAGTCCTGCAGTGCTCATGACTTCATACATTTTTAATCTTGTAAAATAATCATGTAACCAGAGCTTACACATACTGTCTTTGCAGACAATTTCTCAAGTTTCTGATGTACAGGACCCACTACAGTATTTGAGGAAACAACTTTCCAAAATACAAATAACCTTTAAAACAGCAAGTTTATTTATTCTACAACTCCTTAACTCGTAAGATTATTACTATTTATTTGCAAAATTATCATGTTGAACTGCAAAGGAAAATATACACTTAAAACAATTAGGTTTAGTAAACCTAGTACCACTTTTCACACATTTTACTCAAGTTAAAAAAAAGTAAGTCTTCCAAGTCCAAATTATTAGCACCATACCTTTTATGCACAGGTGAATAGGAGAGGAAGTTAACCTGTAAACTAAGAAATCAGAGGTAGAGAGTATACAAGAAGACAAATTATGGAAGGACTTAAGCTGCACCCATTGGAAGCGCAGGCACTTATCTGAAGCTTGTATGTTATAAGTTATCTGAAGTTATAACATTTAGCTTACATATTATATGCATATGTGACCAGTAACACCTGCTCCCCACCCCAGGTCATGTGGTTAGCAAACTAATGCCATTTTATAAGGCAAACAGCCATTCTCTGGGACCCAGTAGGTCATGTATTTGTTTCCTTTCCCCTCATTATAAGGCGCTGAAGGTCCTGTGCGCCCAGTAGACAAAACAAACAGGTTTATGCTTCCCTGCCCTGCAGGCCTCAAGGTTCATGGGTGCCAGGCCAATTACTCCATTCCTTGCTGGCCTTGAAGGTCTCAGGCACCAAGCCAATGTGGGTTGATGACCCCTCCACAGAACAGGGAAAAACATAACAGGTCCCAGAGCACTGTCTGTAAAACCAAGCAGTTAAAATCCTAAGAGGACGTGACCCAAACTGCTGCCAGGCAGAGAGAATGTGACCCCCCGGATGGAAAAGGACACCTCCACCATCATCTGCTTCCTCCGAGGACTGAGGGAGTGACTCATATACTTTTAAGTGATTTTTGAGTCTTGATTGTGATTGTTACATTGATACAGCCAACCATGCATTAAGATTTGACCCAGTCTGCAGAGGGTCCAGATGACTAGAAATTATAAGTTTTAAGTTGTATTATAAATTCTGTAGTATGCTAGTTACATTGTACTTCATTGATTCTGCTTGTAGAAATCCTGTGCTAGTCTAATCATCAAGTCTGTACTATACTAATCATCAATTTCCTGTTAAGAAAACAAAGCTTTAAACTGTAACTATGATTTAGTGGCGTCACCATTCTGTCAATGATGCCTAAAAGAAACCATCTGTTCCCTTAGTGCCAGGAGACTGCATAAGAAGAGAGTAATTTGCTTACCTTTTTCTCTAGTGCTTTCTGTGTTAAAAAAGAATCTTCTCTTATCTTCAGGCCAGTTCAGTCTTTCCTCCAAGTGCTCTGTTATGTTCAGGTAGGCTTCATCTAGGCCCATAGGCATAAAATTGGGATCATATTCGGTCAGTATTTCTCTAACCTTGATAAACACATAGTGAAAGTTAAAAGCCTTGTTGCTGTAAGAGCAGATCTTGAACACAGAGTTATGAAGGGAACAAATGTACTCTGAAACTTCAAGATGACCAACCAATATTAAAGACATTTATAGAACAAACTATTCATTGATATTGGACAATTACAGTACTGCTTCTCACAAGTAGCAAGATATCAATAATAAGTGAGAACTCAACAGATTTTGAGCACTGTATTTTACTGCAGAGGTCATTGTGATCAGTGTGTAAGGATTCCACAGGCACTAGATTCACAGACACTGCAGTAACCATCTGAACAAAACTCTGGGGACCTGGGATCTCAGCAAAGCACATGAGCTGATGCATCTTTCTGTGCACTGTGTGTCAGACATAGAATCACAGAACATCATATATGCAAAGGTTTAAAAAAATACAAGACCACTCAAGTTTTAACTTATGTTCAAACTAAAGTCACAGACAATGTTTTAGAGCACTGGTTAATGCCACAGACAAAACTTCTTAGAAAAATCTTTAGTGATAAGTCCATCTTCCTAAAAGGCAACATAATAAATAGTATGACATAAGCTTATCCAGGGAGTAAATTAGAAGGGCCAAAGCCCAACTAGAACTTAATCTGGCTACTGCCTCAAAAGGCAATAAAAATGTTTCTGAAATACAATAGCAACAAAAGGAAGGAAGGCTAAGGAGAATCTTTATCCTTTACTGGATGCAGGAGGAAATACAGTGGCAAAGGATGAGGAAAAGGCTGAGGAACTAATACCTCAGTATTTAGTAGTAAGACCGGTTGTTCTCTGAGTACCCAGCCCCCTGAGCTGGAAGATGGGGAGCAAATAATAGGCCTTCCCTATGGATTATTCCATAATCTAAGAGGAAATGGTAAGCAACCTGCTACTCCACTTAGACACAGAAGTCTATGTGGCTGGATGGGATCCACACAAAGGTACTCAGGGAGCTGGTGGAAGTACTCACCAAGCCACCTTCCACTAGTTATGAGCAGTCCTGGCTAAACAGAGAGGTACCACTTGACTCGAGGTTAGAAAATACAACACCCATCTACAAGATGGGCCAAAAGGAGGATCTGGGGAACTACAGGCCTGTCAGTCTGACCTTGATGCTGGGGAACATTACGGAGCAGACCATCCCGAGTGCCATCATGTGGCACATACATGTGATTGGGTGCGGTCAGCATGGGTGTATGAAAGGTTGGTCCTGCCTGACTAACCTGATCTCCTTCTATGACAAGGTGACCCTTCTAGTGGATGTTGTCTACCTAGACCTTAGGGAATCCTTTGACACCATTTTCCACAGCATTTTCCTGGAGAAGAGGCTGCTCATGGCTTGGAAATGTGTACACTTCATTGGGTAAAAAACTGGCTGGATGGCTTGGCCCCGAGAACCTGATCTCCTTCTATGACAAGGTGACCCTTCTAGTGGATGTTGTCTACCTAGACCTTAGGGAATCCTTTGACACCATTTTCCACAGCATTTTCCTGGAGAAGAGGCTGCTCATGGCTTGGAAATGTGTACACTTCATTGGGTAAAAAACTGGCTGGATGGCTTGGCCCCGAGTTGTGGTAAATGGAGTTAAATCCAGTTGGTGGCCAGTCACCAGTGGTGTTCCCCAGGGCTTGGTATTGGGGTCAGTTTTGTTTAGTATCTTTATCAATGATCTGGATGAGGGGATTGAGCGCACCCTCAGTAAATTTGCAGATGACACCAAGTTAGGTGGGAGTATTGATCTGCTTGAGGGTAGGAAGGCTCTACAGAGGGATCTTGACAGCCTGAATCAGTGGGCCGAAGACAATTGTATGAGGCTGAACAAGACCAAATGCCAGGTCCTGCACTTGGGTCACAACAACCCCCTGCAGCGCTACAGGCTGGGGGAAGAGTGGCTGGAAAGCTGCCTGGAAGAAAAGGACCTGGGGGTGTTGGTCAACAGCCAGCTGAATATGAGCCAGCAGTGTGCCCAGCATGGCCAAGAAGACATCCTGGCTTGTATGAGAAATAGCTGGCCAGCAGGAGTAGGGAAGTGCCTGTCCCCCTGCAGAGGCCACACCTTGAATACCGTGTTCAGTTTTGGGCCCCTCACTACAAGAAAGACACTGAGGTGCTGGTCCAAAGAACAGCAACAAAGCTGGTGGAGGGTCTAGAGCACAAGTGTTATGAAGAGTAGCTGAGGGAACTGGGGTTGTTTGGCCGCCTCACTACAAGAAAGACACTGAGGTGCTGGTCCAAAGAACAGCAACAAAGCTGGTGGAGGGTCTAGAGCACAAGTGTTATGAAGAGTAGCTGAGGGAACTGGGGTTGTTTGGCCGGGAGAAAACGAGGCTGAAGGGAGACCTTATCGCTCTCTACAATTACCTGAAACGAGGTTGTAGTGAGGTAGGGGTCATTCTCTTCTCTCAGGTAACAAGTGATAGGATAAGAGGAAATGGCCTCAAGTTGCGCCAGGGGAGGTTTAGTTTGGGTATTAGAAAGAATTTCTTCACCAAAAGGGTTATTAAGCATTGGAGCAGGCTGCCCAGAGAACTGGTCGAGTCACCATCCCAAGAGGTATTTAAAAGATGTGTAGATGTGGTGCTTAGGGACATAGCTTAGTGGTGAACTTGGCAGTGTTAGGTTAAAAGTTGGACTCAATGACCTTAAGGGTCTTTTCCAACCTAAAGAATTCTATGATATTATTTACTGATTTCTTTCTGCAGTGTCTGAAGAGAGTGCATTAGCAGCTTCATTTTTTCTGTTTGAAAAAAATAAATCATTATTCAGCCAAAGTGATTGCATCGGTTTTTTGTTTCAAGAGAGGAAAGTCCGAACTGCTTTATTCTTAATGTGATTTAAGCTTGGCTGAGATTGGAAGAATTGGCTAGGACACTGGACGTAACTTCCAGAAAAGCAACAAGGTTTAATGGCCTGTTGCTGTAGCAGCAGAAAAGCATAAATATTTTGGCATTATTTTTGCTTCATGTCAAGTGAACGCCAGATGCTCCCTTTTTTGGTGGAAATAAAAATCTTTTGTAAAAGTTTTTCAATATTCTCCAAAGAAAATCAGGGATTTGGAATATCTGGTTCTAGAATCATCAGCCTGGGGAGCTTGTTTTTCACTGCAGTCATGGTAGAACAAGTAATGTCAGCAGCCCTTTGTCTACTACTAACTTTACTACTATGGTTTCACATTCTAAGTGCTTGCTTGTTTTTCTGAAGAACAAGGATGTCAGAAGTATGAAGAGGCACATGACTCCACATCAGTGATATTTATTTTGTAAAGACTATGCCAGTTTGTTTCTTTGTATTCCATTAATGCTTTTAGTAGTAGTGTATCCTTGATTATCCTCTTAATTGAATACTGATAATATAGATGTTCCGGTTTGTACATCAATCAACCATTTGTATAACTCCTCCTTTTTTATTACTCCCTATTGGGTATACAGTTGTGGATGTGGTTCCAACTCCATCTTCTACAGCCAAGTGAAATCCAGTCATTCTTAAGCATTACTGTAAGTCCTGCAGTGCTCATGACTTCATACATTTTTAATCTTGTAAAATAATCATGTAACCAGAGCTTACACATACTGTCTTTGCAGACAATTTCTCAAGTTTCTGATGTACAGGACCCACTACAGTATTTGAGGAAACAACTTTCCAAAATACAAATAACCTTTAAAACAGCAAGTTTATTTATTCTACAACTCCTTAACTCGTAAGATTATTACTATTTATTTGCAAAATTATCATGTTGAACTGCAAAGGAAAATATACACTTAAAACAATTAGGTTTAGTAAACCTAGTACCACTTTTCACACATTTTACTCAAGTTAAAAAAAAGTAAGTCTTCCAAGTCCAAATTATTAGCACCATACCTTTTATGCACAGGTGAATAGGAGAGGAAGTTAACCTGTAAACTAAGAAATCAGAGGTAGAGAGTATACAAGAAGACAAATTATGGAAGGACTTAAGCTGCACCCATTGGAAGCGCAGGCACTTATCTGAAGCTTGTATGTTATAAGTTATCTGAAGTTATAACATTTAGCTTACATATTATATGCATATGTGACCAGTAACACCTGCTCCCCACCCCAGGTCATGTGGTTAGCAAACTAATGCCATTTTATAAGGCAAACAGCCATTCTCTGGGACCCAGTAGGTCATGTATTTGTTTCCTTTCCCCTCATTATAAGGCGCTGAAGGTCCTGTGCGCCCAGTAGACAAAACAAACAGGTTTATGCTTCCCTGCCCTGCAGGCCTCAAGGTTCATGGGTGCCAGGCCAATTACTCCATTCCTTGCTGGCCTTGAAGGTCTCAGGCACCAAGCCAATGTGGGTTGATGACCCCTCCACAGAACAGGGAAAAACATAACAGGTCCCAGAGCACTGTCTGTAAAACCAAGCAGTTAAAATCCTAAGAGGACGTGACCCAAACTGCTGCCAGGCAGAGAGAATGTGACCCCCCGGATGGAAAAGGACACCTCCACCATCATCTGCTTCCTCCGAGGACTGAGGGAGTGACTCATATACTTTTAAGTGATTTTTGAGTCTTGATTGTGATTGTTACATTGATACAGCCAACCATGCATTAAGATTTGACCCAGTCTGCAGAGGGTCCAGATGACTAGAAATTATAAGTTTTAAGTTGTATTATAAATTCTGTAGTATGCTAGTTACATTGTACTTCATTGATTCTGCTTGTAGAAATCCTGTGCTAGTCTAATCATCAAGTCTGTACTATACTAATCATCAATTTCCTGTTAAGAAAACAAAGCTTTAAACTGTAACTATGATTTAGTGGCGTCACCATTCTGTCAATGATGCCTAAAAGAAACCATCTGTTCCCTTAGTGCCAGGAGACTGCATAAGAAGAGAGTAATTTGCTTACCTTTTTCTCTAGTGCTTTCTGTGTTAAAAAAGAATCTTCTCTTATCTTCAGGCCAGTTCAGTCTTTCCTCCAAGTGCTCTGTTATGTTCAGGTAGGCTTCATCTAGGCCCATAGGCATAAAATTGGGATCATATTCGGTCAGTATTTCTCTAACCTTGATAAACACATAGTGAAAGTTAAAAGCCTTGTTGCTGTAAGAGCAGATCTTGAACACAGAGTTATGAAGGGAACAAATGTACTCTGAAACTTCAAGATGACCAACCAATATTAAAGACATTTATAGAACAAACTATTCATTGATATTGGACAATTACAGTACTGCTTCTCACAAGTAGCAAGATATCAATAATAAGTGAGAACTCAACAGATTTTGAGCACTGTATTTTACTGCAGAGGTCATTGTGATCAGTGTGTAAGGATTCCACAGGCACTAGATTCACAGACACTGCAGTAACCATCTGAACAAAACTCTGGGGACCTGGGATCTCAGCAAAGCACATGAGCTGATGCATCTTTCTGTGCACTGTGTGTCAGACATAGAATCACAGAACATCATATATGCAAAGGTTTAAAAAAATACAAGACCACTCAAGTTTTAACTTATGTTCAAACTAAAGTCACAGACAATGTTTTAGAGCACTGGTTAATGCCACAGACAAAACTTCTTAGAAAAATCTTTAGTGATAAGTCCATCTTCCTAAAAGGCAACATAATAAATTGAATGGTCGAAATAAATTTTCTACCTTTTCTCCTCTTTTTTTACCCTTTTTATTTTGGATATCCTAAGTATTTCTCCTGGCACTAAGTAAAGTTACTACTGCTAAAGCAACATGTGATTTCTTTTCTCCCTATTTTTTTTTATTTCAAGTCCCTTCTTTTAAAACAAATTAATCTGCATTTAGAACTCACTAATGCTGTTGACTTCTCTCTCCAGTAATTACCATTTGAAATTCTGATTATGCATTGTGTGAATTTACTATCTCCATTTTTCCTATGTACTTGCAGCTTCCTAGTCATTAGATTATGCTCCATGGCTTTGAAATTTTAATAATAAGGCTCAAGCAGTATCACTAGCTGACTAAAGTTTTGAAAATCTCTATCAGCACCCCTACTGACTTCATTAAAATGGCAAGACGAATGTGATGTCTTTTCATCTCCTTGGTCAAAAGCACCAATGTTTTGTTTAATTTATGTTCAAAGCCACATCACTGAAGAGTTTAATGCTTAAACTACTACTTTTCATGTTATCTAGAACTGACGTATTGTTAGAGTCTAAAACCAAGTACAATGACTTTTGGTTAGAGAGCAGACTTACCTCTTTACTCACTTTGCCATATTTTTCAAAGTTTAATGGTACTATAGTTAGATGTGGACACAGCTTTTTAGCAATAAATCCAGGCATGGCTGCACGTACACCAAATCTCCTAGCATGGTAATTTGACGTAGACTTAGGAGAGAGTAAATAAGTTTAGTGTTCAGTAATCAAGCTTTTCTTCAAGTTTAGTATTTAATCACATATCTCCAAGCAGAAAAGACTGACAAGGCTAGGAGTTTATATTCATTCCCTCCCCCACACCGCACCTTTCAATCTGTTTGCATCCTTTAAACTGTCATGGGTACACTTTTTACTGAAAAATAAAATCCAGCTTACACAGTCTAGTCTAAGAACAGATGTTTACTGTTTTTGTTATTTTTTCCACACTTCTAGAAATTCTCTACATAATAGTATCATATTATGTTGTTATTGTATGGTATATTATGTTTTAGATTCACGTTATTGATTTCTAAATTAGCGTGACATTTGGCCTTACCAACATACTCATTGATCCCACTGCTATAGGCTTTTCCTTCAACTCTGGATTGTCTCTCATTTCCACAGCAGCATAGAAAGCATCCATGTCAATGTGTACAATCGTATTGCTAAGGTTACGGCTCTGTTCCAGTTCTATCACAAGTTTGTCCACCTGAACAGAATAAACCAACAACGTAAAATTGTATTGCTAGCAAAACTGCAAGGTGACCTTTAAAGAAAAGCCCACACATAGAAAGTGTGTTTCACTCCTAGAGTTGAAGACGTATTATCTACTAGTAGACTGTGAGCAGTACTCCTACTTCATCAGCTCCATGGTGTTGTGAGACATGAGACCGAGCACACAGACCTCTTCATGAAATACTTCAATCGTGCTTAATTTGCTTGCATTCTTTTACCAAACCACTTACAGATCATGTGCTTGTTTCCGAAATATTTTTCAACTATGAATGAGGAATGAACCGTGAATGTCATCAGAAAGCATGAGTGCACTGTTTGACAGGTGATTTTTAAGGTCTACTGGTTAAAGATGACTATGTTGGCAGTACCACACATCATTCTAGGTACATTCTAACCACACTAATGACTATCCTAACCTCTATTTACACAACAAAAGGTTGCTACTGCTAGAAAAAAACTCAACAAACAGGCATAATAGAGCTCAAGAAATACAAGCACTGAAAGGGAATTGGAGTTTCACTTTGCTTGAAAGCACAAGGACACGCGTGTGCATTCATGACATCAAGGTACCATTACAGAAATGCCGCAGGATTGATTGCAACGTGTTAGGGTCTTGGAAAGGAATGTTCATGTGCAATTTGCACAGTTACTTGAAGACTTTTTCTCTCTTTTCCCCCTCCACAGAGTTGTTTAATAAAAAACATTAGAACTTTATCCAAAAATCCATCTTTGGAGCTGAAGGCACTTGAACCAAGAAAGTATCTATGAATATTCTAGGTAAATTGCTGAGTAATGATTTACAAAGTCCTTTTTCTGTTTTGTTCCAAGTTGATTTGAGGGATGAAAGGCTAGAATGGGGCCTTAAAAAAGGCTACTCCATACAGAAGAGCACAGTATGCTCCCCGAGGCTGAGAAAACGGGTTTAGATGAATTAAAAGCACAAGGGGAAAGCCATCCAAACAAGAACCAAAACAAGAAGTGGGGAATTTACATTATTTTCATTCTAGTAATTCAGCAATAGTGCAAGTCACACTATAATCATGAAAAGTACCCTTATTTTAAACTATACTTTACAGATAATTTTCAGGTTATTCTCAAATTCAAATTGCTTAATTAATACTGTCAATTGCTCCTCTAGTTACATAACTTCTCTATTTCAATTGAACACAATTTTTACAAACTTCTTTTCACTTTTTCTCAGCACAGGAAGGACATAGACCTGTTGGAATGGGTCCAGAGGTGGGGCACTAAGCCCTACTCATAGGAGGGTTGGAGCACCTCTCCTATGAAGACAGGCTGAGGGAGTTGGGGTTGTTCAGGCTGGAGAAGAGAAGGCTCTGGGGAGACCTTAGAGCAGCCTTCAAATACCTAAAGGGGGCCTACAGGAAAGATGGGGAGGGACTATTTATCAAGGAGTGTAGTGGTAGGACAAGGGGTAATGGTTTTGAACTGAAAGCGGGAAGATTTAGATTAGATGGTAGGAAGAAATTCTTTCCTGTGAGAGTGGTGAGACACTGGAACAGGTTGCCCAGAGAAGCTGTGGATGCCCCATCCCTGGAGGCATTCAAGGCCAGGCTGGATGGGGCTTTGAGCAACCTGGTCTAGTGGGAGGTGTCCCTGCCCATGGCAGGGGAGTTGGAGCTCCACGATCTTTAAGGTTCCTTCCAATCCAAACCATTCTATGATTCTATGAAATGCAGTTCTAACATGATGCTTACTGATCAGATAATATATGCATCTAAAGGATGAAATAAAAGGACATTAAACTAATCACTAAACTAAATACAAAAAGGTAACTCTTCAGTAAAAGCAACAGATACAAGTAATATGCTAAAACAAAACACACCCAAACAGAGAATTCAGGGGACCTACAAGTGTTTCCTTAGTAAGATAGGGAAAGTCATGGAATAACACCTTAGAGGCAAGCCAGGTTGACAATTTTTTAAAAGCTGCTTCCAATTTTCCTTTAAACAAAAAAAGAGGTAGTAAGTTGTTCTTTTGTTTCTAAGCCAGATGAAAAAAACCAACCCTAAAACGTACAAATTGTAATAAAAAGTTTAATTTTCCTTAGAGTGACTTTTAGACAACTTAGAGTAACTTCTCTTTTTTTCTTGTCCATGACACAAAATACAAGTTTTCTGTCTTCTGTTATTTTGTCAAAGTAAGACAGAAAAGATTATGCAAAATCTCTTCTATATTTCTAAAAGCATCTGGCAAGGTGAAGAGATAATAAACAGTGATATTATTTTAAGACAATAGTAACTATTTACAGAATAAACATCTGGGATAAAATCCACATGTATAAAACCAGCAAACATTAACAGCTGGATACTTTAAGAAGTATTATTAACTACTGCTGAATTTCAAACAATTCCACCCTAGCTTGTTAGGATAATCTAACTCTGTTGCAGAAAATTTTCAAAAATTAAGAATTACATTATATTCTACAGTATATAATTTCCCTTAAAAGATTACAATGACATTGATTAGGAAAACTTCAAATTACCTTTCACGTTTAAAATTATTAATAAAAAAACAAAACACCAAAGAAATATCTGTATATGGAAATGGCAGTTTTGAGAAGATTCACAAGTACTTTTAATGGTTTTGAACTGAAAGCGGGAAGATTTAGATTAGATGGTAGGAAGAAATTCTTTCCTGTGAGAGTGGTGAGACACTGGAACAGGTTGCCCAGAGAAGCTGTGGATGCCCCATCCCTGGAGGCATTCAAGGCCAGGCTGGATGGGGCTTTGAGCAACCTGGTCTAGTGGGAGGTGTCCCTGCCCATGGCAGGGGAGTTGGAGCTCCACGATCTTTAAGGTTCCTTCCAATCCAAACCATTCTATGATTCTATGAAATGCAGTTCTAACATGATGCTTACTGATCAGATAATATATGCATCTAAAGGATGAAATAAAAGGACATTAAACTAATCACTAAACTAAATACAAAAAGGTAACTCTTCAGTAAAAGCAACAGATACAAGTAATATGCTAAAACAAAACACACCCAAACAGAGAATTCAGGGGACCTACAAGTGTTTCCTTAGTAAGATAGGGAAAGTCATGGAATAACACCTTAGAGGCAAGCCAGGTTGACAATTTTTTAAAAGCTGCTTCCAATTTTCCTTTAAACAAAAAAAGAGGTAGTAAGTTGTTCTTTTGTTTCTAAGCCAGATGAAAAAAACCAACCCTAAAACGTACAAATTGTAATAAAAAGTTTAATTTTCCTTAGAGTGACTTTTAGACAACTTAGAGTAACTTCTCTTTTTTTCTTGTCCATGACACAAAATACAAGTTTTCTGTCTTCTGTTATTTTGTCAAAGTAAGACAGAAAAGATTATGCAAAATCTCTTCTATATTTCTAAAAGCATCTGGCAAGGTGAAGAGATAATAAACAGTGATATTATTTTAAGACAATAGTAACTATTTACAGAATAAACATCTGGGATAAAATCCACATGTATAAAACCAGCAAACATTAACAGCTGGATACTTTAAGAAGTATTATTAACTACTGCTGAATTTCAAACAATTCCACCCTAGCTTGTTAGGATAATCTAACTCTGTTGCAGAAAATTTTCAAAAATTAAGAATTACATTATATTCTACAGTATATAATTTCCCTTAAAAGATTACAATGACATTGATTAGGAAAACTTCAAATTACCTTTCACGTTTAAAATTATTAATAAAAAAACAAAACACCAAAGAAATATCTGTATATGGAAATGGCAGTTTTGAGAAGATTCACAAGTACTTTCTAATCTCCAGTATTTCCAAAATCAATGGTGATAAGTACCCATCTGCAAAGAATGCCTTAGCAGAAGGCAAGTAGAAGTAACATCACAAATTCCTTGGCATAATCACACTCTCAAGATGAGAAACACAGCACTATGTTGCAGATTCTACATTTTGTTTATATTACTGTTTCCACCATGTCGCCAGGATATTGTCCAACAAATCCAGTGAGTGGATATCTTGTTTGTTTGTTTTTACATTACAGCACTCAGACCAACTGCCAGCTTATGAAGCTGTAGCTGAACTTCTAATCATCCTACAAACAAACCTTGATCTGCAGACAAGAACTTATAGCATTCATAGCAAGTAGATATATGGATACCTACAACTTACAAATTTTAGGAGAACAAATTCTCTCCTGTTATATCAGATGGTAGTATTAAAAAGAAGAGTTAAATAACTCACATGGACAACAACAGTAAAGAAGAAAACAAGATAATGAGAGCTGACTATATCAGTTTCTGAAGACCTAGAGAAGCTGATTAAACAATAGACAGCACTTATTAAGAAAACCAAATAGGACAAACAAGACTTGCAAAGTTAAAGGCAGAGATAATGGCCTGGGGAAGAGTAGCTGGAGGGTGACAGGAAAAAGGGGAGGTATTTATGATATCAGACACAGACAAAGACTGGCTGTGCCAAGAGACTGGAGACTTCAATGGGCACTTGGGGGCATAGGCGAGGACCGCTTTTGAAAGAGGGCTGATAGTAATCTGGGGATGTGGGACAAGAATAAGAAAATTCAGGATAGGATAAATTAAAAGAAAGAAGAGGAGAAAGCAAAAGGTTCAGAACCTGTGATGAAGAAATGAGGGCAACGACAATCATGGACTAGAGCTTATCTGCATATGGAATCAAAATCCAAGATTTTGAGATGTTTTTATCGCAGCAAAAATCTAAAAGTAGCCAGTAAAAAAGTGTGTGTGTTATCCCTCTCTAATGACAGTTCTCATGGAAGCTGACTTATCACTTACTGCACTGGAAATAAAAACGACTGCTATTTGAGCAAGTGGCATGAAGATTTCAAACATGGGGTTTGAAAGTCAGGGCCCAGTAAGACCCAGATTAAGGAATTTCTCTCCTTTTTTATAGAGAGCAATTTTCAAAGAAAACATCAAAAGAAAATAACATTATGTTGCAAAATCAAAGGCTCAAGTTCAGAAAAACATAGCACGAGGGTAGCCAAAGCAATTAAAATTTTTAGATTTCAGTATATGCACTATATATTCTTTAACTACATAGCCATTTACTAATTTTACCTGATCCATGTCACTCATGTAATTAATTTCATAAGAAAGACTGTTCTCTGTAAAGTGAAAAGTTCTGAGGTGAAGGAAGGATGGAAATGGAAGTATTTTTTCGTAATTAAATTACTTAAAAGCTACCCCATAAAACTAAAAAATACCCCAAACCTGAGAGACATAACTGATCCATGTTAAAGATCAAACTGAAAACAGTTGAGGCATATAGGTTTATAACAGACTTTTCAGAAGTACCCAGTAAATACAAGCTTTTCTAGGCACAAGTTTGAGACAACGGCATCTAATTTACAGAAGGGGTTTGCAGATCTGCAATGAACATAAAATGATTGTACACAGAAGCTTGGTACCTATAATCCTCACAATAGCATTCAAAATTAATGGATGTGTTTATTCTTCGTGTGCTTCACCTCCTCATCTACAAAAAAAAAATATTGCTCTACTTTGCCACAGTATTGGAAGAATAATTTAAGGAATTCACACTATGTGGTGTACAACATGAAAAAGCCTATGAGGAAGTCAGTAATTCTGCATTCAAAGCTGGCTTAGACTAGTGCACAACAAATAGAGCCCAGGGCCACCCATTGAACAATGAGGACAACAGTAAATATTGAATAATTGCCCACTCAGTGAACACTGTTTGCACTATGCACTGAATGAAGCAGGAATCCTGTTAGGGAAAAATAGTGAGTAATCATGTAATTAAAGACTGAATCACAGGACAAAGGAAAAAGGAAAGGAATTTATCTTCTAGAAGCAATTTTAATTCATTTGCACCTAAGAATGTTTAGTGTGCAACCTTGGTGCTGTTGTTTTCTTTTAACAGCCCTTCATACACTGTAATACTTCGGATGCGATTATCTATCATTAGCATTTGCGAAGAGAAATAGCCTCTTCATCTCTCTAGTTCGGGACACCTGTATTTCTTGTAACTGCTTGCCATGATGATTTTTTTATTATCATAAATAAGGAATGAATTATATCCAAAAGAATTGGCAACTGTGACCCTCCCCTCATGCCATTGCAGGCTACTGAACTCAAATATACATATATTATAGAAACAGAAAGAAAATCAATACTTATTAACAAGGCATTTAACGTAACTTTTATATAAACCATAATTATATCCCTTTAAATTGATCAGACTTAAAAGAACAGGAAGCACTGTCCTTCATTTTATTCATTTAGAGAACATTTCAGAGTGATTTTACACTCTATTCTTCTAGCAATTTTTATTAAGATTACATGATCAAAACATTGTGCACTTTTACCTGCATGACAAACATCAAAATGGTAGTTAACATTGTGAACACACCATTTACTCCAAAAAGTCTTTACAAGATTAGTACCTGCTGCTGTGCTTTCAAGAGCTGTTGTGTTGTAATTTTCTCTTTTAGCCGCATCATTTTTTCAATTCGTTGGTTAACTTGTTGATCTTTTTTAAGTTCATTTTCGTAAAATCTAGAACCCTGGAAGAAAAATTGCAAAAACACTAAGGTTTATATTTGGTTTTTCCTATAAACAACCACATTTGATCTTTAAATATAGAAAGCACAATAGCAGTTTCTAATACATACTTTGGATTTTCAGAGAAATGATACTCAAAAGAGATAACTGGTGCTTTACATCTCTCTCCTCAAATGACACAAAGGTATTTCTCCTTCTCAGATCCCCTATGCTCAGAGAAGTATAAGGAGCTATTTGGAGAACTTGCTGTGTTTATTCATTCTAACACTTCACAATAAAAAAATAACAAAAAAAAAAGTATGTAAAAGTCAAAATACTCTTTGTAATACCTCCAAGACAAGGAGTATAATACTGTAAAAAAATATTTAAGTATTTTTCCATTTTTTCATTTACTACACAGAAATAATGACATTGTATAAGTCAAATCCACTTATAATGTTGAGTATTTCATTGACCATTAAATGTTGAAGTACATTGCAGGATTAGAAGCTATTTGCAAGAGGATGATGAAAAGCAAATGGGTATAAAAACCCCTCTTGCTCTCAAGTATGTAATTGCTCGTTCAGGAAAAGGAATGAATAAAAGGAGATGTACTAAAAACATAAAATGACAACAGTCACGTAGAGAACATATAATGTGACTTCCCTTCATGACTCATAACAAAGAAAAGAAGGCATACAATGAAATAGAAAAGGGGAAAATTCAAACACAGGAAATAAAATATCTTTCTTGCAACATGTGCTTATTTTACAAGAGAAATAACATTTGAAGGAAGAGTCTTTTGTTGAACCACCTGGTAAGATCTGCTAAAGTGGACAAATTTCTAACTCAAAGCCTATGACTACCAAACTGTTGCTGAGACCAAGAATTCAGCCATAGTGAAATAAGAATCAGGCATTTATACAACAAGCAAAAATATTCACTCTTATAATAATGATAAAGAGGATAAACAGCAAGACTGTAACATGTCATGTTTCATTGCTTAGAAGAAATCTCTGATCAGAAGAAATTAGGGTGAGTTTTCTTTCAATACCAGACACACATTTCATCTTTTCTCCCCTCTGCAATCAAACACAACTTGTTGAGACTCATTGAAAGTAGTAAGTACCAAAATGTTAGTGTAGGAAGCAACACAGTACTTAAGATTGTTATTAAGCTGTGGATTTTTTTATGTCTCTTGCAGTTTTTAACAGCTGAAATGCTATAAAAATCTTGTTGTAATACAATTGTGGGTAGTGTTTCTAGGTATAATTTTGAAGACTAACGAAAAGCTTAAGAAAAAGAATCAGTACACCTTTTCAAATTTCTTGAGCTGTATCTGGTATTTATACTCTAACTTTTTTTGACAGAAATATATTCTAATACATAGATGCCTGTATATCAGCTTTGAAAGCCTGTTTTACGGTTCATTCTATTTCATACCAGAAACTGAAACTATAACTGTTCTGACAAAAAAAAGTTATCCAAATATCGTTATTAGGGATATGTCTGACAAAGCACTAAATTTTCAAGAGAGAGTGAACAGAGAAAGTGGAAGAAACATCTAATTGATAGGGGGCTTGACAACAGATAAAGTATCATCAAAGTGAAAGCGCAAGCAAAAAAACGTTTGCCAAATAAGAGCTGTTTGTAGTATGTTTTCTGCTTTCCCTGCAGTTTACCACAGAGCAATAGTAGTCAACACAGAATTCATGAGCAAAATTATCAAGCACAGAGGGCCATAGCGAAACCAAATGAAATACACAGTTGTGCAAGGAAAAGTAAGAAAACCCAGAGTTGCTCAAATAACTTCTATGTGAAGACTCTTCAATAACATATAAAAGGATTAATATTTCGATACTTTGTAGATTGGTGTGGTCCTTTGTGGATCTTCGGTATACAGTTGCACACTACTGGCAGCTCTCTTGAATACTGAGGAGACAGTCAAGATGACAAGGACTAAGCACAAAGAAATTCTACTGAAAGTCTTAGAAAAACCTGATTACATCACCAATAGAGGTGACCAATACAAGTAGATCTGCTTGGCTGATTAATGATGGGGTGGGCAAATGAATGGGAAAGCAGAACACAAAAGGTCTAAGGAAGCCAAAACCTTCACAATTACCTCTGGACCACGCTGTGATGTATATGTATTGCTTCAGGCATAAAGTAAACCTAGGGATGTCCTCAGTAGTATTCCTCTGTGTCCTTGTGGGTGAATCCAACACTACCCTACGGCACCCTAAGCTACAGTCCCTCCCCTTCCTCCCCACACATGCATTTGTCTTAGAAGATGCCCTCCATTTACATGTGAGAGATAAAACTTTGGGGGGAGGGAGGAAGAGGGCCTTAACACAGAATGGTAGGGGTTGGAATGGACCTTTGGAGATCATCTAGTCCAACCCCCAAGCCAAAGCAGGGTCACCTAGAGCAGGCTGGACAGGAACCCATCCAGTCTGGTTTTGAATATCTCCAGAGAAGGAGACTCCACAACCTCTCTGCGCAGCCTGTTCCAGTGCTCTGTCACTCTCAAATTCTCCATGTTCAGACAGATTTTTCTGTGTTCCAGTTTGTGTCCATTGCCCCTTGTCCTGTCACCAGGCACCACTGAGAAAAGTCTGGCTCCATCCTCTTGACACTCCCCCGTTAGATATTTATAAGCATTGATAAGATCCCCTCTCAGTCTTCTCCAGGCTAAAGAGACCCAGATCTCTCAGCATTTCCTCATAAGAGAGGAGCTCCAGTCCCTTGATCATCTTCATAGCCTTCCACCAGACTCCCTCCAGCCTTTCCTCATAAGGGAGATGCTCCAGGCCCCTAATCATCTTTGTAGCCCTTTGCTGTACTCTCTGCAGCAGTTTCCTGTCCTTCTTGAACTGGGGGGCCCAGAACTGGACACAGGACTCCAGATGTGGTCTCACCAGGGCAGAATAGAGAGGGAGAATGACCTCCCTCGATCTGCTGGCCATGCTCTTTTTAATACACCCCAATGACACTGGACAACATATAAAACACCAGAAAAAGAGTAATCAAACCAACCTTGGTAGCTTCCATGATGATTTTATTGATTTTCTCTTTATCCAAACCTTGCATTCCAGCTTTGTTATCATTGAGGCCCATTCTAAGGAGAAGTCCATCATTGCAAGAGCTGTTGCCAACTTTTTTCATGTCATCCATAGTACTTCTTGAAAACAAGTACCTCTTTTAAGACTTAATACCTGAAAAAAAAATTGAGATCATGAATTTGTTTCTCAGTTTTAGCTGAACAATATAAAAAATTATAGAATTCATTTGCTGTATTTATTGAACAAGTATTTTATACTTAGCCAGAAAACAACATACTTATCACAAATATGAAGACTTATATGCCTTTAAAGTAGCTGCCACACACCACATAAAGCCACCTGTAACTCTCAGTGTTTGGAGACAGTAAAACTTTACTTTTTTATTAACTTAAAAACATACTCTTTTAAAAGCTCCACTACAGAAATAATTGAGCACCATGAATGTCAGATAAAAGCTAGTAACTTACACATGTAAATGAGATTTATGCCTCTATGTTATCCTGTCATATCAAACAATACTGCCTTAAAATCAAAATACTGCTCACTGGTTTATTACATTAAACGAGAAGCAAATACATGATTTTTAAAATTGCAGACCACTTTTCATTTAGTCCTCATTCCTGCTTATGACAAGCCATAGACTCTTTCCCAGTAATTTCCAGCTCAAATTCAAAACTTGCTGTTAAAGCTCATCTTTTAGAAACAAATGGCTTCCATTAAAAGTTTTGAATAAAACCCTATTGTTTAATTCAGGGTAAAATTCACGCATTCTTTTTTTCCATTAATTTGTAGGGCCATGGTATCAGTATTCAACTAACAGAACTTACCAAGCCTTTACTACTCAATTACTGCCATCAGTAACTTCCTATACATGCAGGTACTTCTGATACATGAACTTCTGACACTTTCCCTTGTTGCTTATGAAAGTAAATAGCTGAATTGTTTGATAGGCTCTAATTTTATGGTGAATAGTCTAGTTATTAAATCACTCTTAAAAACTAAAGAAAGCAAATTTTACCCTCTGTAGCATGAACCTGTAGTCTCAATTTTGTCAGATTAAAACAAGCCGAATCCAAGTATGATACCAGTATAAATTGCTTAATATGTACTTATTACTGGAAAATCATACAGAAAGATTTTCTTCCTGCCTTAAGTTGCTGATTCATAAATGACTTCAGCCTTACTCTGTGTGTAGGAAGCACATTCACTCCTAAACTTCCCCTTCAAGCTGCTCACTGTGTCAGGAGCCCTTCCTGTTTGGAGGACCCACACCCTTTCAGGCACATACAGCAGCTCTATTAAACAACCACAAATTACACAAATCTGGAAGTGTAACATTTTTTCCTTAAATGCCGCTTTCCCGCCCCAGAACTTAAGTGAGCCTCATTAGCAACCAAACTGAAGAAGGTCATTATGCATTTTTGCATTTAGAGATTAATTTTTCCTATTAAAGAACCATATGGGTGACTTCTTAAAATAATTGTGGCAATGCTCATATTCTCCTGAAGTTCTTCTCCTGAAGCATACTAGCCAACTAAGTCAGATATTAAAGAAAGCCACCTTAAAAAAAAAAAAGTTCTGGCAAAAATATCCCAATTTTAATCATATTCTATTAATCTAAATTATTATTTATGATGTCTTCCAAAGATGCAAGATCAGGTAAGTAACACTGTACTTATCTCCATCCTGTATTTCAAAGAACAGAAGGTGACGTAGAGACCAGACCTCTTCTCTTGACCCTTTACTAGTACTTCAGCTACTATAATGGCAACTAGGAATGGGAGTGGCTTCATAGCTGTTATGTATCTATCAAATAAAAGACCACAGTGTCAAACATTTTCATAAATTTTTCACTTACAAGGGACAATCTCTTACAGTTAACATACACATTTACCAGAACAGGTTTGCTGGACTTCAAAGGAAAAAGCACTCCATCCAACACAACATTCCAGGTGTCATCTCAAGCTTATAAGCACTCCCATATCAATTAGCTCCACAATAATTCCATTGTTACTGGCTATCTCTGGTAAGTAACGGGCACAATTCCCAGTAAATACTTTCCTCAAGGTAAATGACGCTCCACTATTCCCCCTGCTTCTTTTATCACTCTTTCCTTCCAAGCAGCTGGAATGAACACAGATTGCTTGCATTTCCTATTCTAGTTGTTGCAGTATTTTTTTGCCGTTCCATATTTTTGAAAGTGTCTTTATCCCCAGCATAGACAAATCTTTTCCCCTCCTCATTTAGATCACTCTTAAAGGCTCATTTTTATAGCAGAGGCTTTAAGCATTAATTGATGTAAGGCAAAAGCCTTCTCTACCACACTGTTATATATCCAGTGAGAAACAAATTACCATGATGACACCAAGTCTCATAAATGGTGGTCTCCTGATGTGTTCTATCTTTTCAGCTTTTTGTGTGGAACAAAATAGATTGCTAGTACCAGCTGATAAAGAGTATAAATATCAAATACCTTGGCTGGAATTAAGAAGACAAAATTAATTTGAGGACGTGACATTACTTCTCCACCACAGCTTAAAGGTATACAGAAGGCAAAACATGAATAACAACTGACACGATTTTCAGCTGCCTAACATGAACAGAACCTGAAGACTATCTTGGTTTCAGATCAACAGGCTTGAGAAAAAAATATGTAAAATATTTAGCATACTGAAATGAATCACAAAAAGCTACAATAACGCAACAGATATAGCCCTGTGGATCATCTGCCACAGACAAAATGGAAATATTTAAAAGAAATGCAGGAGAAGTACAGTTTGAAACACTATGCAAAACAACATGTCAGTGTAGAAAGCGGTAAGGACAAGTAGTAACTGTTTTAATGGAAAATTGCCTAGAGAAAACATTTAGCTTGCGGTGACACAATCTTACAAAATTTTTGCTAAAACAACTTAGAAAAAAGGTTTAGAGTCTAATGAAACACTAACTCAAACACTCTAGGCAGAGTGACATATTTTTGGCATGCTGTCACCTCAAGGAGCTGCTGCAAGACTGAGCCGTTTCCTCTAACAAAACATGCTAAATTTCTCTCAGCATCTTACTGAGTAAGTAGGGTGTGAAATCAGAGAAGTCTGTGAAGGCAGTCTACAATTAAATACTACCCCATTATTCCTGTGATTTTGGAACGGGGGGAACGGAGCAGGAGAATCATCTATAAGTGGAGGAGGTACCTTTCCAATTACTACTTGAAGAACTTTTAAAGGTCATGAGGAAGACTTCAGTAAAGGATACCAACATTATCGCAAAATGAAAAAGTGGAGAGGAACCACACAATAGCATTACTGTTTAGGAAGCTTCATTAGTAACCTAGGAAGCTTACAAGTGGAAAAAGATGACCAATAAAACCCCAATCAAACCCGTCTACAAGCAGGCAAAGAAACTCAACTGAACCAATCAGACAGAGTTATATATTATACGAAAACATCAAGACACTGAAACTGCAGTAAAATCAGAGCAACAATTTAATTTCAAGTGCCTCTACTTTTATTCAAAATTAGGACATTTTTGGATGGTTGACTGAACTAGCCTGAAGGAAATGGTTTGCATTTGATCCTGTGTCACTCCTCCAGCCTGTCTTCAGCAAAAATCCTCCAACTGTGGGAACTGAAACCTTGCATGTTGTGTGAAAACTTAGATGCTTTCATATTATTATTTTCATGTAATAAAATAATACATAGAAAGGTAAAAAATATGTATAAGAATATTCAGTTCAGTGGACACAGTGTTATTATGCAGGTTATTAACACTTGCAAAGTATGTTAACAGTTTGCCTTTTATAAATAGTGTTAACAACTTTTTGCAAAGAAATATTAGGACTAGAAAATGACACCAGTATGGAAAAGCTTGAAAAATAATTTATTTTTGTTTATAATAGTATTTATATATAAAATTTATAAAATATAATATATATTATATCAAATAATATATATAATTTATAGTAATAATAATTTATTTATATTATACATAGTGAATTATTATTTGATGCATGTAAAATTGTGTACTAGTCTTCATAAAGGAAATCAAATTCTGACATCTTTGCTACTACAGAGGCCCAAGCCAATAGCCAGATGCAAAGAAGTTACTAACCAACTACTAACAAAGAAGTATACAACTACCTACTTCCCCCAGAGCTCAAAAGCTAAATGGTGGGAATCGTGTTACAGATGTAAAGGACCACCTTTTTACCACCCAATCGCCCCCCTAAGTCTCCACAGTGTGTAAAAAAATACCGATGTTGCAGATAGCAACACAATTATTAAAGTCTTTTCTGTATGTTTTTTAATTTTTATTTTGAGGATGGCTAAGACAAGGAACTAAATTAATTTCTTTGATTTCTGTAAAACTCATAAATGCCTCCAATAACATTTCATCAAAATCTGACACCTCATTTATTGTATTATGAGCCAAAAAAAACCTTCCTTTTTTCCCTTGATTAAAATGTTTTTAGGGATTCCTTTATTTAAACCCTTCTATTCTTCCTTCAGCAAGAACCAAACAAAACGGTAACAGCTAACTTAATGAACAAATGTAGAGAATGGATGATAGCTTCAGGAATCCTGTCATTACACAGGCTGCATCAGAAGAATATCAGTATTATCCTTAATTTCAATGACAAGACCAAGATGTTAATAGGAGTTCTATAAAAGCACTGAAAGCACAATAGACAATTAACAAAGATAGGACTGACTTCATCCAGTTTTTGACCACAAAAGATCATTTCTCAGGCTTCTGGCTAAAATGAAACGTGGTGTAGTATGGATCACTCTACGTTCAAAAGATAAACGCCTCAAAGTTAATATTATACCAAAAACACCAGAGAAGAAAAAGACAGAAAAAACTTCCTTTCAAATATCAATGTATATACACATGATCCCTGGTCTTTTATTTTTCTTATGCAAACTTTACAAATGACCCACTATCATATGCTACTAAAGTTTGGAGCACTCAGTGCAAGTGTGGGATGGAAAAATTTCTTCCGTAAACAATTATTAAAATAATTGCATCCATGTAGAAGATGGTTATGAATAATATGAAACTCCTAGAACACTTCATAAATGTTTGTAAGATCATCAGAAGTCAAATATGAAATACCCAGTTTTAATACATCTTCAGTAAAAGGGGGTTTAGTAGCT